TAACAGAATTCTGATAGTCAGAAAAAAGCGTTTTAGTATGTCGAAATTTACAATTTAGTATAGTACTAAATCGCCGAAGGAGTATTTAATTAACTATTATATGTTGAATAAGTTGCAGGAAAGTGTGGGTAATACCATGGATTGTAAAATAACATGTACTTTATTATCCATGGTAATACCTTCATTCTTTGCAGTTTGTCACAGATTGAATGATGAAGGTCTGCATGACATGCTACGGCCCTGTGGTTATTGCACAAAATCGAGTAACTATGTAAAAAAATAGTATACAGGGGTGTCAAAAAGTAGACCGTTAGAAATTAACCTGTTGTTCTAACTTGAATTTATAGCCAGTATATTAGCCACAAGCCCACAGTATTATTAAAGAATAGTACATTATTAAAGTCAAGAGCTCAACTATAGACAATAATGGTTCAAAATAAATCTATAGTGCGTGCCCACATGATATTCAACTAAGAGTATTAAATATCTGACAACTCAAATTGTTTAGAAATTTATAGCAATTAGCAATAGATTTCAGGCAGTCAAATCAGTTTTTAAATAGTTCACCTGCACAGCTTATTTGATCGAAAAATGACAATCGGAATTACTTCACACAAATAAGGCGTTCTGTTTTGGCCGTGTCTGGGTCCATTATATTTTATCCGTGAGATCCTTTTCACATCCAAGAGTGATTAGATCCCTTAGCCTTCTTTCTTTCATCACTGAACGAATGGCAGTCTTAATCAATTTAAGCTTCGAACTCGAAAAGCTGTGTGTTCACTCTTAAAAAAGGTGTGCTAAAGCAACACACCTTTTATGTCCAGAAAACAACACACCTTAAGGTGTGTTACAGTAGCACACCTTTAGGTGTGTTATTCGCTTGTCCAGAAAACAGCACACCTTTAGGTGTGTTTTGAGAAAAGGTGTGTTCGTTAACACACCTTGGTGTGTTTGTTAGCACGCCTTGGTGTGTTGCTGTAGCACACCTTAAAGGTGTGTTGCTGTAACACACATTTAAGGTGTGTTGCTGCAACACACCTTTAAGGTGTGCTGCTGTAACACACCTTTAAGGTGTGCTGCTGTAACACACCTTTAAGGTGTGCTGCTGTAACACACCTTCAAGGTGTGCTGCTGTCACACGCCTGAAGGGCGTGCTACAGTAACACACCTTAAAGTGTGCTGCTGTAACACAACTTAAGGCGTGCTGCTGTAACACACCTGATTGCTTAACCTAAGAAATCAATAAAGACGTTTTTAAGTCAAAATAATTTATTGTCCCTCTATATAAAAGGTATACAGTATTGTAACAGGAAATACAATTTGCTTTAGCATATAATGATATATTCTTACGCTCGATAACATTCTTTGAATGCAGTTCTAAGTTCAAAGTTTGATTGATGATATCATGGCTGCATGTGTATAATATGATGGATTGCAGAATGTTGCAAATAGACAATATTAAATATAGGAGACAATCAACAGCCTACTCTAGTAAGGCAATAATAGCAGACTGATCATGGATTTTTGTAGATGGACATTTCAAATGGAAACTGTACAGTTAACATGTTTTTCATAGAACTAACTGAGAGCATGTTTCGCTCGCTAATCTGGTTTAAATAAATTATTACAAAGTCCAGTTGAATTGTAATTAAGACCCAACGTTTTGACACTCCAGTCTAGTGTCTTCATCGGGGGTGATCTAAAGTTGCAATTGTCGCTTCTTAAATACCCAAGGGATGACGACACCTGCCAATGAGATGCATGTAATACTAAGGTTGCCTTAAAACCAACTCTTTTTCGACCACCCCCTTTCGCATCAGATTACGACACAATTTTTCTAATATAAATATCTCGGCGAGTATTTACCCCCCTTGTAAATAAAAGCCACCATTGAAATCCTAATAAAATAACCTTTCGAACGGGGGGTCAAGTGCCATCAGAGCATTACACAAACCGAAACAATCATATATTTACTCACCGCTTGGCCAAAGATTCTAGATTTTATATCTACAAGATCTTGAATATCTCTTGAACTTTTCGTCATTTTCTGAACGGCTATATGTGTAAAATACTCTTTGTATCCAAGCGCTTTCGTGTAGAAAGTTTGGTATGTATACGCCGACTAGAAATATTTATTTTGAATTTTTCAAGGTATCGGGTTTTACTACGTTTTACTCGCACTTGCGAACATTGCGCAATAATTGGCCAATAAGAAGCTCCTGTTGGCCGGTATGACGTCAAACTCACGCGTGTAGGTGCAATTTGATCTTGCGAATCCATTTCTGGCCTTTCCAGGGTCATATGATACAAACGTCGCATTGTTTTGACGGTTTTCAGACGTATTTCCGGTTGGGATTAACTCACTTCGAGCTCACAGTCGGACAAGAAATGGAAATATATTGATAAAAGATACAGATTTGAAGATGCAGGCTTGCAAATAACACTCTAAATAGTGTTTTTGATGGGGATTCGAACAAGACTATAACAAAGACGATATGTGCGAAGGGGCCGAAGTTATTTTCAGCGAAAGGTATGGCTAGTCTGTATTTTGTTCAGACAATTGCGTAATTTGATACAATATTATCGTGTTTGACTTTCAAAGGCCCATAAATCGTTACAATGTTAATAATGACTATAACTATCGTTTGGAACTAGTCTATCTTTTATTTCTGAATCGATTGGTGGTATTTCTGTCTTCATAGCATGCACTGAACCGAAATATAAAATTTTATAGCCGTCGATCGCTCAGGATCGACGCGATATGGCCTGTGGCGAGAAAGAGTTAAAACCGTATTTGACTTTAGGCCATATTTTCGCAAAGCCAAAAGATCCTGTTAAAACAAATCAGAAAACTCATGCTATATATTCTATACCATGCGGTGACTGCGAAAAAGAGTATTTGGGTCAGTCTAAACACCAGTTTGGTACATGGCTAAAAGAAAATCAAAATTAGGCTGTTTCAACTTTAAAACAAGGGAAAATCAGCTTTATCAGAACATGTGTGTGACACCAAACACGAGATTGTGTCGGAGAAATCTAAAGTAATTATCACAAACAATCGCTAACATGGTCAAAGACTAGAAGCATGGCATATAAATATGAGTAATTATGCTGTGAATAGGGATGACGGTGCCTATTTGCCAGAGGAATACATGCATCTCATTGGCAGGTGATGTCATCCTTTGGGTATTTAATAAGCCACAATTACAACTTTAGATCAGCCCTAAAGAAGACACTAGACTGGAGTGTCTAAACGCTGGGTCTTGATTACAATTCCACCGAGCTTTGTAATTATTTACTTAATCCAGAGTAGCAAGCGAAACATGATTGATATACCTGGTTGCAGTGAACAAACACACTTCAATAACTCAGAGAGCAATTGCAAGTCTGCCAGCATAAACTGAACCTACAGCCATGAAATTCTACTGCTGCCCTCTGACTTAAAGTGTCTGTTTGCCAAGAGGTCACCACAAGTTGCTGTACATACTGTATATAAACCATGGTCAGGTGCCAGTGGTAGTATATTAAGTTAACTGGTATCAGTATTATATACATAAACTCCTGGTGACCTTCATTGACTCTTGGGGCTTGATGGACTTTTTGCAATTAAGGAGCGGATCCGAATGACAGGGGTTTCATTCCCGGCACAATAGCTATTATATAGTTTGTTTGTGATGTTATTCTGAGTGCATATCCACACCGGGCGAGCTTAAAAAATATGCCCGGCCACGGTGGGATTCGAACCTACGACCTTTGTAATACTAGCCCAATGCTCTTCCAACTGAGCTACGCGGTCAGGACGGTTCGAGTAAGTGATATTTCGGAACAGTATCTAGTTCCTTCAATACCAATGTGTTCTTGTAATATGAATTGTTTCTGTGCTGGTGTTGTGTACTCAGGTGAATAATATGTTTGTGATGTTACTCTGAGTGCATATCCACACCGGGCGAGCTTGAAAAATATGCCCGGCCACGGTGGGATTCGAACCTACGACCTTTGGAATACTAGGCCAATGCTCTTCCAACTGAGCTACGCGGTCAGGACGGTTCGAGTAAGTGATATTTCGGAACAGTATCTAGTTCCTTCAATACCAATGTGTTCTTGTAATATGAATTCTTTCTGTGCTGGTGTTGTGTACTCAGGCGAATAATATGTTTGTGATGTTACTCTGAGTGCATATCCACACCGGGCGAGCTTGAAAAATATGCCCGGCCACGGTGGGATTCGAACCTACGACCTTTGGAATACTAGACCTTTGGGCTAGTATTCCAAAGGTCGTAGGTTCGAATCCCACCGTGGCCGGGCATATTTTTCAAGCTCGCCCGGTGTGGATATGCACTCAGAGTAACATCACAAACATATTTGGGAGATTGTTTTCAATGTCCTCGGCGCTTTAATTGATAATGCTTGAACCACACTCGTGACAATAATTTGCTTCGGGTAAAACAGCAGTTCCACATGAACAACAAAACATTCTTTTGTATATCAAGGTTTCAAAAACTATTTTGCCATACTGCAAGGGTTACACTAAGTACTCCTCTTTGTGCAGTGGTTTTCTGTGGGCTCAGTCCTGTATAAAATTCTGAAGGCTTTTAATACGTAAAATTCCGAAGGCCCTTGCATAAAATTCTGAAGTCTTTACGTAAAATTCTGAAGGCCTTGCATAAAATTCTGAAGGCCCTTGTATAAGTTCTGAAGGCCTTGCATAAAATTCTGAAGGCCCTTGTATAAAATTCTGAAGGCCTTGCATAAAATTCTGAAGGCTCTTGTATAAAATTCTGAAGGCCTACATAAAACTCCGAAGGCCTTGCATAAAATTCTGAAGGCCCTTGTATAAAATTCTGAAGGCCTTGCATAAAATTCTGAAGGCCTTAATTTAAATAAAATAATGAAGGCTGAATGGGCCTATAAATCCCCTATGGGCCACCGTAGAATCATCGTAGAAATACATCATGGCGTTCACCGAGCGGCGGGACATGGCAGTTTGATTCTAAGATGCTATCAGTTACATGGCATAGTAAAAGTGAAAATATTTACTTCGAAGGTGAAAAGGGCGGCGATCTCACCATACGAGTATATTCCTACGTAAATCTGGGGCTCGGGGAAAGTGATCAAACGGTGGTGAGTGGAAGTCCTACAGCAACCGAGCTAGCAAAGTCCATCGAAAGTCTGTTAGCTAGCAAGAATGAACATATGAATGATATTAATAAAACTAAAGATATGCCAACTAACGAGGGAG